CCCCAAAACCCCAAAACCCCAAAACCCCGTGAGGGGAAATTGAAATTAGCAGAGAAAGCATATAAAACCTTGAATATTTATATAAAGATCATGATTTTATTTGTCAGTTAACGATAAATTTAATTTTTTAATGAAGCCCATTTTACCAAGATTACAAACAAGTGTGTCTCATAGCAATCTTAATAAAACTCTAAATCTCTCAAGCTCTAGATCAATGAATAGGCTAAAGGTTTAGCCGTCAAGACAATACATATATGATGTTATTCAGGCTGAGAGTTATGTTAAGAACACTTCAGGGAACAATACTTTATTCAATAGCTCAATCAATTTTACTCTTGATAGATCTCAAAGTTAAGATAAATAAATTGGGTAAAATGACTTAAATATAAGTAAGCAAAATACCAATCTTGAAAATAGCAATCAAAAACGACTATAGACTTTGAATTAAGTGATACAGTCCTAACATCAAATGATAAATCCCTAGCTTCTCTAACCAGTACTCTAATCTAATAGCAAAGATATCAGAGGTAGAAAGAATTACAAAGCTTTAAACTCATCTAGAGACTTTAATGCTTCACAATAGTTCACATCATCCTAGTCTATTATAAATTAAGCTTAAGTAGACAAACCTATCAAGTCACTTAGAATACCTCCTAAGGCCAATAAAACTCAGAGAAATATTAGCATTTTAACAAACAGTATAGTGACTGATGATAATTAAAAATAAGAGTCAGCTATTGGAACAGTGGAGTTATCAAAGCATTCAACAAGTTAGGTCAGAGAATAGAACGAAAAGTCAGTTGAGAAATGTCCTGATAACATTAATGTTATTTAAGAATATGAGTATAACAGTTAGAATATTGAAAATCTATCGCCAGTTAGAGCACAGTAAATGTCTAATTAAAAGCATTACTTAGCAGACTCAAGTTTTAATGGATGTAGAAGTTGCACCAAAGCTACACCTAGAGTAGGATATGCAATAATAGATTTATAGTAATCTAGTGAGAAAAACAAGGATCACAGACATGGAACTATGAGTGAAGTTAACTTTAGTAAAAATGGTGAAAGATCAGTAGATAACTTTCAGTCTGTTGAATTTAGATCAATGGATAACATAATGAATTCATAGTAGAAGAAAAAGTAAAAGCGAAGAGAGATGGCAATGTCTTAAACATCTGAATTCATCTAGAATCTGGTATCCCGGGTTAAATCAGTAATGAGTTAATCTGCAATGAAAAAGAAAAAATAACAGATTTAGTAGTTAAAAGAGTCTCAAAGTAATAGATAAAGAGATATATTAAAAACTCATTCACAAAGCAGACTGGAGTAGATTAAAGGATAAATGACTAAGAGTCTAGTCAAAGCCAGGTAATCTAAGGAAAGAATGATAAAACCCCAAGATTAAAAACAATTAAACTTTGGATTAGTAAGTAGCAGAGATTAGCATCATAGATAAGTCTCATAATTTGGGCAACAAATACTTCAATACTCAGAAAGAATTGAACAACTCATGATAAATGAAAAGAATAGCAAACAACCATTTGGTGAGTAGAATCTAAACAAGTTTACAAATAAACAGCAATCTATAATGATCAATGCTAAATTTGAAAAAAGATAGAGGAATACTGGATAAAAGCTTTAGACTTAGAATGTTGTGGACAAGGAAAATATTTAGGAAGTAAAAGGCTTATCTTTAAAAAATCCATAGAGTTTGATGAGATTAAACATGATTAAGCCAAGCAAAAACATTAATCATGTGAAATAAGTCTCTATAAGGAGACTTGATTAGACCTTTAACATTCCTAAGGCAGTGGTGCAGAATTCTAAAAATATAGCCCAAGAATATAATATTGATACTAGAAGTTAAACTTCATCTGAAAACTCAGAAGAAACATACTAATACTTAAATGTAGTAGGTCAAATCTGACTCGATTCCCCATTGTATTTTGCCAAATGAATCATTAAAATATGTGACATATGATATTAAAAATAAGCTATTAATTTAGAATACCTAGTCATTGGCTTGATGGGGTTTTGGGGTTTTGGGG